AAAAATTTACCATTATTATTATTTTCCCCTGACCCTTTATTTGGTTCCCCTATAGTCCTTTAAGTGAAACTGATACATGGATTGGAGCGAGAAGGGATTATGCACAGTGAAATAAGTCAGAAATAAAAAGAAAAATTTTAATGAAAAATTTTTTAAAGATTTATTTATTTGTGCATGCAGAATTGGGGTACAGGCCAGAGGTGCAGAGACAGTGAGAGGATTTCACCATAAACAGCATGGAGAGCAGAACAGGCCGACTGACAAAGTATACTGCTGAGGGGAGCAGCGGGCGGGTCAGGAGAGTCTGCCACACCTTGTGGGTCACCTCTGGGGCAGGGAAGGAACTCATGCTGAAATGGTTTTAGCTTTTTAGTGCTGTGCTTTAACTTGCTGCCACCAGGGAGGGCCCTTAATGAACTTTTAATGGGGGCTGGAATGACAGCCTATGTATCTTGTCTTTGATATATCTTGTATATCCTGTCTTTGATAAATCCTAGCCACAGACCTGTACATATTTGGCAACTTCTCCCCAAAGAATTTAATGAAGTTCATGGACTATTCAGTCAAAGTCTAGAAGTAGGGGAAGAAAGTTGAGAGCTCCCTATTCCCTGAAGTATATAGACCCATCCAGAAATGCAAAACATTGCCTTTAGGAGGATCCCACTGAGGTAGATTTGGTCTTCACCAAGTATATTATGATAACTGTTTGAAGTCTTGAGGCATAGAAGAACAGAAGAGAAAAATCTCCTAAGATGCAGAGAGCTAAGGTGGGACTGATGAGAAATGCCCCCCAAATCTCACTATTAGGCAGTAAATCAGAAATCCCCCATAATTTAGAAAATTAGTGACTTGACTGTAAATTAGGAGGCTTTCAGAGCCTTGCTGATAAGGAAGTCCTCACCCCACCGTCATGATATCTGGAACTAGTACTGTTTAGACCTAACACTGCCTGTGAGAGACACAGATCCAAATCAAACACAGAATTAAATCCATACAGTCACCACTACAACCATTCAACAGAAGTGGTATAAACTTTTTTGAGGAGCAAATGTATCTACTTCAGTCTTTATAATACTTTGACACACAACATAGGAGTAATTTAAAATACAAGGTACAGGAAGAAACAAGGAAATGGAAGGAGGACAGACCCAGAAGTGGCCTGGGTATGGATTATCAGACAGAGTCTTAAAACTGACTATGATAAAGATAGAGAATCTAATAGAAAAGGGGAACAACAGGTTTGAATAGGTGGGAGTTATCCATCCATCCATCCATCCATCCATCCATCCACCCACCATCCAATGGACCATCCAATGGAGATGAAAATGATAATGGAAATAAAATTTCAGTTCATGGACTTAACAGAGACTAGATACAATAGAGGAAATGATCAGGGATTCTGAAGACAGGACAATAGAAATTAGAACAGTAAAGAAACTGAAAAATAAGAAGAAAACAGTGCATCCTAGGGATTTGGGACAATATCAAATAGACCACTATATATATAGAATGAGAGTCCTAGAAGAATAGCATAGGAATGGGTCAGAAGAAATATCTAGAGGGACAGTGGTTGAGAATTTTTTAGTACTCATCATGGATATCCATCTCCACATCTGAGAGCTTAACAAACCTATACAAGATAGATATACAACAAGAATTTCTCTTTAAGTACACCCAAAACCTTAGTCAGACAATGCATAAAAAGGAAAAACCTAAGTTGAAAAGGAAACAATAAAATGATCACTATTCACAGGCCAAATAATGCAACACCTAAAAAACTTTATACAAATTACATATCTACAAAGTGAGCTTATCACTTCACAGGATACAGGACACTACACAAAAATTTGTTGAATTTCTATATACAAGGACCATAAAATTGGAATATGGAATAAAAACAGATATTTAAATCTAGTTTTAAATCTTGAAAAATAACAAAATTGGAGGACTTTAATTACCTAATTCAAGTAATTTCTAAAATAGCCCTCCCTGGTGGTGCAGTGGGTTAAAATGCAGCACTATGAAGCTATCTGTAGCTACTGCAGTATGAGTTCGATTCCCAGCCAGGGAGGTGATCCACTTTGCATGACAGACTTCTCCTGTCCTGCCTGCTACTCCCTGTCAATCTGCCTGTTCTGTTCCCCACTTTGTCTCTGGTGAATCTGCTCACCCCTACACACCTCTAGCCTATACCCCAGTTCTTGTATGCATAAATAAATAAATTTTTTTTAAAAAATTAATAAAACTACAGTATTATAAGCAAACAGAAATGGCAGGAGAGAAAAAAAGATTGCTGAACCAGTATGGAATGTCCAGAAATAAAGATACATTTCAGGTCAATTGATTTTTGGCCATATCAATTCAGAGAGGAAGGAACATCTTATATAAAGAGATGGTTCTGTTCCAAATGAATATCTATGTGAAAAGAAAAAATGTACCCTAATCCTACCTCATTCTACATATAAAAATTAATTTGATACGAGTCACAGGCTTCTCAACATAAATGCTATAAACATAAAACCCCATGAAAGGAAATGTAGGACAATAGCTTTGCTTCATGGCTTTGAGAGAGGCAAAGATTTTAGGGCACACAAAAAAGTCACCAGGAAAGAAAGAAAAAGATCTAAACTTCATTGTTTTGGATCAAATTGTGTACCCCCTTTAAGTTTGTATGTTGAATATGCAAGATTGAGGGGTGTGCAAGCGGAGGAAAGAAGCCTTGGGGAAAACCAAACCCCCAACCCCTCTATTTTGTACTTCCAGGCTTCAAAACTGTGAGAAAGTAAATTTCTATTGTTTAAGTCACTGATTTTGTGGTGTTTTGTTAGGGCAGCCTTAGGAAACTAGCGAGGTCATCAAAATTAAAAGTTATAGTTATCAAAGAAAATGACTATACCAACCCACAGAATAGGAAAAATATTTGTAATAGGTACATATCACACATCCAAGTGTATATATATATATATATATATACACACACACACACACGCACACTCATATATTAACAATGAAAGATAAAACCCATTCAGTGCTCTTTTTAGAGCAAAAAACTTCAACAGACTTTCACAACAAAAGATCTGTGAATGGACAGTACAGACATGAAATGCACTGACACCATTCACCATCAAGTTAAAATCATGAGAGATCATTTCACACGTACCAATTGGCAGTGAACATGTGGAACAAATCAAAGTGTCATGTTGCTGACAGACTAAAATAGTACAAAGATTTTGGAGAATTGTTGGGCAATGGCTTTTGCTTTTATCTTTTAATGTTAAGTATACATCTACCTTGTAATCCAATAAATCAAATTCTAGGTATTTACTTGAGAAAAATGAAAATATATGTTCAAAACAATAAAGGTACAGAATGTTCCTAATAGCTCTAAAGTGGAATCAACCTACATGTTTATGAGGAAGACAAGATAAATAGTGATATATTTTTGCAACAGAATAGTATTTGGGGGGCCCTCCCTGGTGGCACAACAGGTTAAGATGCATGTAGCACCACCAGCTAGCCGCAACCACTTCACTGTGATTTAATCCCTGCCCCAGTGGCAACCCACACAGCACAGCAGACCTCTCCTGACCTGCCCCCTGCATCCCTCAGCAGGGGCGTACTTCAGGGGTTACTTCATCCATCTGCCTGTTCTGCTCCCCACTCTGTCTCTGGTGAGTCCTCTCACCGCCCCTACACCTCTGTCTTGTACCTCAGTTCTGTATGCATAAATAAAATCTTTAAAAAAAATAGTATTTTGGAATAAAAGAATGAATGACTGAGACATACAACAATATGGACAAATCTTACAAACACTGATTTGGACAAATGAAGCATGATACCATATAGAATATACTACATACTTCCAGTTATATGATGTTCTAGAAGTTAGAAGAAATAAGGAGCCAGTTGTCTCTTCAGGGAAGAATAAAATGTAACTGGAAGGGGGCATGAGATAAATTTGCAAGGTAATGAATTAGCTTATGTTTTAT